GGAAAAATGAAAGCCACTTCAACAACAGGTAAGCTGGCCTCAGGTTTTGTTGTTGTTGTTGGGTGCCGTCAAGTCGGTTCCAAATCATAGCTACCCCACCTACAACACAATGAAACACTACCCCGTCCTGCGCCATCCTCACAGTCATTGTTATGCTTGAGCCACTGTGTCAGTCCATCTTGTTGAGGGTCTTCCTCTTTTCTGCTGACCCTCTACGAAGCGTGATGTCCTTCTCCAGGGACTGGTCCCTCCTGATAACATGTCCAAAGTACACGAAATGAAGTCACACCATCCTCACTTCTAAGGAGCATTCTGGCTGTACTTCTTCCAAGACAGATTTGTTTGTTCTTTTGGCAGTCCATGGTATATTCAGTCTTCTTCACCCACATCATAATTTCGCAGGCATCAATTCTTCTTTGGTTTGCTGTAAACACATTAAAATTTAGTAAAGCAGAAAGAAAGTTTTAGTCAGCATATATTCAAAAAGGCAAAAATGGGAAAGACAACCATGTTGCCACAGCCATGTCTGCCCGAGTCCAAAGACCATTACAAAGTCATCAGTATATATTAACATTACAAATGGGCAAAACCATTGACAGCTTCACCTTTTCACAGATTGGCTAGAAACTGTGATCCTACATTTTGAATTACCTGATTGGTACAGGTTTCAGTAAGGTCACAGTCAGGAGGGTCTTCATTGGTCCAATAAATTTTCGATTCACTAAATGTTAATAGAAGATAAGAGTGAAAAGTCTTTTGTGTTCTGTTTGGTTTTATGTGAAAGGTTCCCTAAAAGCTATTTTCCAAGATTATCTTAGCTATTGTCTTTATACCTCAGGGCCCAGTTGATGTGGCCTTATTATTTTCTAAATCAGGCCCTCCTCATTCATCGTCCAGCTCAGGGGCTGTAGTTTCATGAAGCACGAGGGACTTCATTTAATTCACTCTCTCCATGTCATTCCATTAATTCCCATTTACTATTCCGTAAACTCTATGAGACAGGGGTCCTGTTCATCGCCACACCCTTGACGCCAACAACAGTGCCTGGTATTGGCAGGTTCCCAATATTAACTGATCAAAGGCAGAAAGGAGAATTGGGACATTTATCCCTTTCTTTTCACGATTTTCTGCAGGACACCGAGGCCTACACAGTGCCAACCGGAAGAAAAGAGACACGGCTGGAAGCAGCAGTACGTTTTACCGACAACGAACTACCCGGACCTGCGCAGAGTGGCGGAATCTCTAAAGGCGGCCAAAGCTGGAAGCTGCGGAACCTGAAGGCAACGGAAGCTGGGGCGGCGGAATCCGGAGGCGACGGAACCCGTGGGCGGTGGAACCTTGGACCCAGCGGAACCCATCAGGGGCGCCCACGGGGCCACCCGGACAATGCTTGCGACGGGAACACAGCGGCCGCAGCTTTCCCGTTGCGGGGCGGCGCCGAGGGCCGGGTTCAGCTTCTGCAATGTTGCCCTATACGGTGAATTTCAAGGTGTCGGCTCGCACCCTCACGGGGGCCCTCAACGCCCACAACAAGGCGGCGGTGGACTGGTGAGGGCGACGTCTCGAGGCCGCCTGGGCTCGGCCAGAAGTTTGTGAGGGGAGGGAAGGAATGAGAGGTTGCACCCCTTTGATTAGCTCTGCCTGGCCAAGACAGGGTGCAGCCCTCACACTATGGAGATTTTCTTTTAAATGTAGTTATACAAGTAATAAATGCCCCATGTGGAAAATTTCCCTGTGCAAACACATCTGGCCCCTTCGGCGCATCTTTGTTTCCGTTGCTGCTCTCCGCTTCTCCTTCCTTGCCATCCGCTTCCCCGCCCTTCACCTCCTCCAACCTCGGGCTTCTCGCCTCAACTCCTCTGCCTACTTTCTCCTCTCCCGCCGCTGTCTCTTCCCTTGCTCTCTCATGTCCCTGTTTTTTTATACATTCGACAGTGTGCACTTCATCGATGTGCCGCACCGTGTGTCTGTCTGTTCTTCCAGCTGTCCTTCATCTCTCCTCTGTCTTACCCGGCTCTTCTGTGGGACTCTTCCGTCTACAACAGGTCGTTTCTCTTTATGTTCGCGCTGTAAAAACAACACCGCAGCTCTGAAAGATTAATAATTCGACAAATGCAAAGGCAAAATAGCTTTGGCTCCTGACAGTGTTGTCAAGAGGACTGAAACCTCCTTCCGGGTCCAGGGTTTGCCTTTTTATCTGGTCGGAAGGGTTGCTACTAGCCACAGATATTTACCCGTATGGCGTGCGGCACTTTGGGGAGGCGAAGGATTCAGAGTTGAATCAGACGAGCCCTGTGCCCTCAAAGACAAGTCCACAGAGAACTCCACCACTTGCTTTATACATTCTCATGGCTGTAGGTTCATATCTCTTAAAACCTTTTTTTACAGAATGTAAAATAAACTTCAACAAACATTTGTGAACTTAGACCTTTTATTTCAATGGGGTAATGTAAACTATTGGCCTCTGGGCTTCAAATAATAATTTTATTCATGGTAGTACGTTTTAATTAGATATCATTTATCTAGGATGCTTCTTGATGAGAGAAGTCTTGGTTTTTAAATATACTTTAAATTTTAACTTTACTGTTCTGTTAGGGGCTGGCAAGGTTTAATTGCATATGGATGTCATTCGCTCGTGGTAGTGATCGATTCAAACACAGCCCAGACTCTTCAAGTTTTAGAAAAGCATAAGGCTGACATTGTCAAGGTAAGTCAAAGCTCACTTTGATCCTAGTGCATTATATTTTCTATCCTACAGTTTTAACTATCACTAGATTTTCATTAAGTCATGTATATAAAATGTCGAATAGCTTTTAAATATAATAATCCATTTGGAGCAGGCTAGCATTTCTAAATACATGACTTAATGTGAATCCAGGATGAGCTAGTAAATGCTAGTTCTTGGGTTATTTTACAGCTGATAGAAAATGCTAATTCTCCCATTTACTGTGCCGCTCATTCATCCATTAATTTTGAGCACTGGCTGCTGAGGGTATAGAGATGAAAGCCCTTAGGTAATTATTGGGTAGTGAGGAGGACCAAAAAGAAAACACATAAATACTCATGGTATGATAAGTGAGCCATGTATGACATGCTGGGGGAGAACAAAGGCGCAACATATCACCTAGTTGTGGGCATTAGGGGAGGGTCACAGAATTCTTTCTACTTTTAAAAAAAACCAAACCAAACCGGTTGCCGTCGTCAATTCCGACTCTTAGCCACCCTATAGTTTAGGGAATAGTTAAACAGTAGTTAGCCAGCTGAAAAATCAGGCAAGGAACATTGCAGGCAAAAGGAAGAACATACACAAAGGTAACTAGTTCTTTATGGCTAAGATGGTGTCTTAGTCATCTAGTGCTGCTATAACAGAAACACCACAAGTGGATGGTTTTAATGAAGAGAAGTTTATTTCCTCACAG